TATAGGTTAAATCCGGTTTATAGAGGTTCTCTAAAAGATGTGGGTGAATGTCTCAGCAAAAACTAAAGAAAACAAAACACAAAGCAAACAAAATAACAGAAACATAGAAGCAGCAGAAAAGAGAATAAACTTCCTGCATAGTTTCAAGGAAGAAGGTGTTCAAAAGTAAAGGGACACACGGTTGAAATTTGGGGGCAGGAGGTGTCTCGTCGGCATCACCACACAGAGAAAGGACTCCATGGAGGCTTCTGTCGCAGCAATGACAGCAGCTGTGAGACTCCTCTCTGACTGCAAAGCTGAATGCACAGACTGTACAGTGTTCTAGAACAAAGTTCTAAACCCATAGGTCTACAGGGACCAAGGAAATAATGTGAGTCAGATACACCACTTTTAAGGGGAGGGGAAATGCTTTGTGTATCAAAATGCAGACTGCATATGAAACACACAAGAATCTTCTCTCCTTACTCAAAGTGATAGGCTTTCTTGCATTTTTCTGGGACTATGTGGCCTCTCAGTCTACCTTTCATTATTTCACTTTGTCAGAAATAGTGACAAGAATTTCTCTGCTGTAAGAAAATCAACCGTGCAATTCCTCTGACAGGTGGCAGATGACACTCAGCCTCAGGGCTGAGGAAAGAGCAAGATGGGAGGCGTGTAGGAAGCTGAAAAGAACAGGGCTTCAAGGAGAACATAACCACTCCTTGGCCCTTGACAACTTCTGCCAGATGATCTGCTTTTCAAAAGTCCAAAGTCCGGATTTTATGTCAAACCTCTTGATTTTTCAATGTTGGCTCCAAAAAAAGTGTTAGACATGCTGTAGGAAAAGCAAAACCTACTTCTTATCAACTGCGGGTTTGAGACCTTTGGGCTTAAGGAGAAAATGAATTGTATATCTCCTGGGCTATTCACATAATTATAATCATCAACTGAGTTCCTGAAGAACACTGAGCCCCAGTAGGTTCAAGGTCATACTCCCTGACAAGTGTGGTCTGTCGTGCTGCATGTAGACTGCAAATACGGCCATCGACTCCTCCCGTCCCAGCACCCACGTGCCCCTGCCTATAGATTTGCATGCTTCTCATTGACCTGAAGCTCCACCATGTGAAGTAAGTAGATGTGATACAAGCAAAGGCTTGAAAGCCACTCGTGCAATGAGGCTTGCCCGCCTCTCTGCTCTTTGAAACCCTGGCACCCTGTGAGAAAGTGCAGCATAGCTGCTGAGGGATGAGAGGCCACATGAATAGAGGCCCTGGAGTCCCAGCCCAGCCCATCATCAACCACCAAGCCCTGGCAGATATATCCGCTGAGCAATACTGAGACAAACAAATTCACCCAAGGCCAAAAGACTTTCAAGCTGCTCTGCAGAGATATGAGCTAAATAAATGATGTTAGTTAGAGCCACACATTTTGAGGTGGGTGGCTGCAGCAAAAGAGAACTGACACATGTTAATATATATCTGTACGTTCCTATGAAGATGTGGCTTTTCTCCTGTATAATCACCACCAGGCCTATTAACATGAAGTTTGTTACACATTCTTGTCACTTTTATTAACCTCTGTTTTGACAAACAAAAGCATAAAGCTACTCAGAAGGCAAAAGCTTTCTCATTTGCCTAAGGTGTTTGCTTCTACACAGCAACCACAACCAATATCTGGCTCTCTCATAAATCCTGGAGGAGCACTCTCAGGGGCAGAACTGTCAGTAAAGAGTCTCATATAATTTGGCTCTGTCCCCACCCAAATCTCATGTTGAATTGTAATCCTCAATGTTGGAGAAGGGGCCTGGTGGGAGGTGGTTGGATGATGGGGACTTGCCCCTTGCTATTCTCGTGATAATGAGTGAGTTCTCATGAGGCCTGGCTGTTTAAAAGTGTGTAACTCCTCCTGCTCCACTGTGTGAAGATGTGCCTGTTTCCCCTTTGCCTTCCACCATGATTGTAAGTTTGCTGAGATCTCCCTTGCCATGCTTCCTAAACAACCTGCAGAACTGTGAGCCAATTAAACCTCTTTCATCACAAATTACCCAGTCTCAGTTAGCAGACTAACACACAGTCATATATGCTTTGGAGCTGGAGGGAAGACTGAAACTCTTCTAGGGAAAGGCTTACTACCCTGAAAAAGCCACTAGCCTGAATATAATGCAGACCAATTGACAGAGTCAAGACTCCCCTCAAAAGATACCAGAGTATAGGTGGTATTGCAGTTACTTAGAAAAAAATTATTTTTTAATTAAAAAAAAAAATAGGCCACTCAACCACCCAGAGGGCATTATCACCTCCTGCTGTGTGTATAAGGCCAGAAGCCCCTCCCGGGTTTAAAGTAAACCTGTTGAGTGTTGAGCTGCCCTACTTGTTGCTCTCCTCTGTCTTTAATTCTTATAGTGTGCTCAAAGATGAAATGCTTGAAAGAGACTCAGCTAATAGCTGAACTGTATGAGCTGACTTGCTGTATAGAATTAGCATTATCAGCATTAAAGGAAACTTCCAAAATACATGGCCTGTGTTCTATTAGCTCATCTACAGCCTTATTTTCCTAAAAGAAATTAAGACACCAGAGACAACTGGTATTTTGTTTCCTACTAATTCACAGAAATAAGGAAGATTATCTCCACTTAGAGAACTTTTTCTTTCTATTTTCTCTTGTGATGTGGGGGTTGGCGGGGAGAGTCTTTAGTTTAATTCAGAGAGGCCTCAAGTCCTGAAAGTATTCGTTTAAAAATAAAGGCTATCTCAAGACTATCTTGTTTCACTGCTCTATAATCCAGAGTGTTTGAAACTTGTGGTCTTATGACATGTCATAGTATCCAGCATGGTAATTCTCATCATTCTGTTTTTGATGCTTTTTTCTGAATAATTCGTATCTTTCATTGGGAAAATGTAGGGGCAGGAGGCTGTCTCATACTTAGAACCTCCTAACATTTGGGCACACACATTATTCCCAAGCCAGGAGGACTGCTCTGTTTCAGAAAAAGGTAAAGTGAAAGATTACGTCCTCAACCCATGTCTACCAGACTCCCATTGGAGGAAGTTCTTCCCATATCCGAGCAGTAATCTGTAGATCTCTGACCTGGTTTTGTTCTCTTTCTGAATAGCTATTTCAATTGATAACAAAGACATGCCCCCCTTTTCAGATCTGAATCTAGAATGGCTACTTTCTACATATTCTGTCTTGTGCCAGGGAAGGACATAACATAAAAGATACAACACAATTTCCATGCCAATTCCACGCTTCGTATTAGGAGCTTCAGTAACATAACCTGCATTTCCCCAGCATTCCTTCCTTCTTGATGATTCCTGAGAGAGTAAGCCCATCCACTTTTTAAACTCACTTTCAGGATCTGAGACGTTTGCCAATCTTCCTGTTCCTCCAATCCTGCCACCTCACTTCTTCCTTTTTGTCTCCCTCCCCGTTTACCAATCAGGTTTAGTAAATGAGGAAACATTTATTTGGAATCATACACCATCATATCTCATTTGTCTGTTGAAGACGGCAGTCAAGACTAGTGCTAACGTCTTGTCATTTTCCATGGTCCCTCTGCAGGCCTGAGAACACTCACCAGCAAGAGAGGGAAAGACTCAGTAACATCTAACAAATGTGCCCAGCATTTTGCTGGACATTTTCAGGTAAATATCTTATTTCCTAATTTTCCTCAATCCATGAGGCATTACCTCAACCCATGATGGCACTCACAGAAAATAAAATTTAATAATACTTTTGGCACAACAGTGTGTGCCTAGTCCCAGTATGACACAACAACAGATCATTTCCCCAGAGGCCCAGGAGATGCCTTTGATCATCCCTATCAGGAGAGCCCTCCCTTAAGACATCCAACCCAACCTCATCCTACCACCTAAACCTGACCCTTCCTCGTGAGAGCTCTCTGCAATTATGGGACCCCATAATCCCAGCAATCAACACGGCTAGAACTTTCAGTGTCATTACCTAGTCTTCTTCTCTGCTAGCCTCTCAGAGCCACACAAGCAGGTCGTCAACCATACCTAGCAATCCTTCAACAGCATCTTTTTCTAAGACTCCCTCATTTGCACTGACTTACTTCCTCCCTTGTAACTCTGACCTAAGCAAACACAATAATCTCCTATCCAGGTTCCTGATGCTTCTTGTCTCTCTCATTGTATACCATGCTGGCAGACTGCTCTGCAGGAAGCAACATCTTTCTAAAGAACTGCATTTGAAGTCCCAGACCATCTAGTCCCAACCTTCCCAACTGGACTTCCACCTGCCACTCTCTTTCACACACTCTGTGGTCTGAATAAACTACATGTATGTAACGGTTATCACAAATACCCCAACTCCACATCTTTCTTGGGAAGTTCCTTATTAGCAAAACATAGTTTCCTACTTTCTCAAGGAGCAATCCCAAACAAAGATAAACATTAGGCTAGGCACAGTAGCTTACGCCTGTAATCCCAGCACTTTGAGAGGCTGAGGCAGGAGGATCACTTGAGGTCAGGAGTTGGAGACCAGATTGACCAACAAGGTGAAAGCTCATCTCTATTAACAATCCAAAAAAAAAGAAAAGAAAAAAATTAGCCAGACGTGGTGCCAGGCATCTGTAGTCCCAGCTACTCAGGAGGCTGAGGAAGGAGAATCACTTAAACCCGAGAGGCGGAGGTTGCAGTGAGCCACGACTGCACCACTGCACTCCAGCCTGGGAGAAAGAGTGAGACTCTAACTAAAAAAAAAAAAAATTAAATGACAGCTTCTCTGGAAAGTTTTACCCTGCCTCTCTCATTTGGGAAAAAATATTCATTCTCTTTTTGAATTCCCCTTGTGAGTTACCTGTGCCTCTATTCTTTTTACTAATGTTGTTGTCCCTAACAGAACAGATTTTGAAGGGCAGGACCATCTTCACCTCCCAAAGCCCAACATCTGTATGTAGTAAGTAATTAATCCTGTTCGAATGGATTAATGCCTATTAGTTTTACTTTGCAGTGAAACACAGATTCAAGCAGCATCTCTGCACAGGCTGGACAACTCACCTGATTTCTGCAGGGAACTGTGCATTTGTCACCAAGAAACTGGAGATTCTACGCTGGTGGAGTAACTTCAAAAAGCTGTTGATCTCTGGGTACATAATTGGCTCTCCCACGAGGGACAACGCGCAGTGCTTTACCGCCATTCCTTCTTCAAAGCGCTCTGCTTTGACACCAGGGACTCCTGAAGAAGACAGTGAAAGGACCCAGCTACATACGGCAGATAGAGGATGTCACTTACATTTCTCCAAAGATGATTTTATAGGGCAAATTCATTTTTGATATAAGTCAAAGAATACAAAACAAAGGCCAAAGGGCAGGGTGGGACTAGAATTACTAAGTCAGAAAAATCAGTCAGTAGCCTCATTCTTAGTTTTGGTACTAGTGAAGCGACATCAATACAAGCAGGCAAAACTAGCTCTGTTAGCCAATTATTTGGAGCGCAGAGTAGGTCCCTTTAAATAATTTGCTTAGCTTTGCATTCTTTCCTGTAGATCTAAGAAAATGAACTCAGTATATCTGCATAAGAACAAGCCTGTTCTAGACCAATCATTGCCCCAAGCATTCCTCAAGTATCCAGAGATGGGAAAGTAAATGTAGTTGGTCCAAAGCTGTATAGGAGAGAAAAAGACGACCCCTATCATTCTCATCTTTGGCTTCATACTGGAGTCGTGAGGAGCTTCAAATAATGCTGCCGCAGACCAGGCGCAGTGGCTCACACCTGTGATCCCAGCACTTTGGGAGGCCAAGGCAGGAGGACTGCTTGAGACCAGGAGTTCAAAACTAGCCTGGGCAATATAATGAGACCTTGTCTCAACTAAAAATTTAAAAAACAAAAACAACAACAACAACAAAAATTAGCTGGGCATGGTGGCGTTTGACTGTGGTCCCAACTGCTTGGGAGGCTGAGGTAGGAGGATATCGATTGACTCTGGGAGGTTGAGGCTACAGTGAACCACAATTATGCCACTATACTCCAGCCTGGATGACAGAGAGACTGTCTCAAAAAACAAAAATAGGCTGGGCACGGTGCCTCACACCCAGCACTTTGGGAGGCTGAGGCAGGCAGATCACTTGAGGTCAGGAGTTCCAGACCAGCCTGGCAGCATGGTGAAACCTCGTCTTTACTAAAAAATTACAAAAATTAGCTAGGTGTGGTGGTGGACGCTTCAAATTCCAGCTACTTGGGAGGCTGAAGCAGGAGAATTGCTTGAACCTGGGAGGTGGAGGTTGCAGTGAGCCAAGATTGCACCACTGCACTCCAGCCTGGGCCACAGAGTGAGACTCTGTCTCAAAAAAAAAAAAATACTGCCCCCTAGGTCCACCTCCAAAGAGGCCGTTTCATCAGAGTGGGTGCAAGCCTGGACAATGGGTTTTATTAAAGCTTCTCAGATGGTTGTTACGTATAGCCAAGGCTGGAAGCCACTGCATAAAACCAGAGGGCCCCAAACCTGTCTGCGCATTGGAATCACTCTGGAATCTTAAAATTCCCAAAATCCAGGCCACAGCACAGACAGACTAAACGCCAATCTCTAGTGGAGGGCACAGGCAATACACAGTTTCTGAAGCTCCCCAGGTGATTCCACTGAGCAGACAAGTTCAGCAGCCACATTTAGTGCTACTGTCACACACTACTCATGCTGAATCTTAGCTGAACACTGGAATGACCCAAAGAACTTTAAAAAATCTCAATGTCCAGGCTGTGTCCCAAACGTATTAAATCAGTCTCTGGGGAGGGGCCTCAGGCATCAGGATTTCTAAAGGGATCTCCATGTAATTCCAGCATGCAGCTTGGTTTGACAGGCACTGCTCTTGACTGAACGTAGAAGGCATTCAGAGACACAGTGTCCTAAAAGTCCTTCAGTCTAACAGAATGTGAGACTTGGAAAGAGTTTAAGTAGGCAAAAATACATCTCCTGAGAACACATGGACACGTAGACGGGAACAACACACTCTGGGGCCTATCAGAGAGTGGAGCGTGGAGGAGGGAGAGGATCAGGAGAAATAACTCATGGGTATCAGGCGTCACACCCGGGTGATGAAATCATCTGTACAGCAAACCCCCATGACACAAGGTTACCTGTGTAACAAACCTGCACTTGTACCCCTGAACTTAAAATGGAAGTTAAAAAACAAATAAAAAAATATGTATCTCCTTAACTCCTGATAGTTCCAAATCAATTATTTCTAGGTTCCTTTTGAAGAATATATTCTCTCTGCAGGACAGAGACTCCTCATGAAGCTTGGGCCTTGGGGACAAGCGTGTTCATCCGTCTTCTCCGTCTCTCATTGGCCATCTTTGAAACGTAATTTTGTTAGCTGCGAACAGTAACTACCTTGAAGAATTTTTGTTGGGATTAAATGAGATAATGCATGTAAAGGCCTTAGCAAATTGTCTGGCACACAAGAAATGCTCATTAAGGACTTGGTATTATCACCTTCATCCTGGTTTATGAAACGGATTAGATCCCAGTCACTGTCACCTTAACAACAACAAAGAATGCAGGCGAAATAAAGTTAAATTTCACTGCTCAGTTGTGCCTCAGTGTTCAGAAAGTGATTTTATTTTACACACAGTGTTCCGCCAGACCCCTATTGACTTCATAGGGATAGCACCATGAGTGAGAGGCTGGCAAAGAGATTCAGAGTCAATGAACAAGACACAGGGTTTTTGTTGTTGTTTTGAGATGGAATATCGCACTGTCACCCAGGGAAGGAGTGCAATGGCGCAATCTCGGCTCACTGCAACCTCTGCATCCCAGGTTCATGCGATTCTCCTGCCTCAGTCTCCCGAGTAGCTGGGATTACAGGGGCACACCACCACACCCGGCTAATTTTTTTTTTTTTTTTTGTAAAGACAGGGTTTCACCATGTTGACCAGACTGGTCTCGAACTCTTGACCTCATCATTGGCCCGCCTCACCCTCCCCAAATGTGGGATTACAGGTTTGAGCCACTGCACTTAGCCGAGACATAGGGTTTACTGAAGGGACTCAGAAACAGGACAGTCCAGTGGCAGTGTGCTGTGCAGGAGAACCACAGTTGCTTGTAAAATGCACACAGTTCAGTCAGGTGCAGTAGCTCAGGCAGGCAGATCACTTGAGGTCAGGTTCAAGACCAGGTTGGCCAACATGGTGAAGCCCCCATCTCTACTGAAAATACAAAAATTAGCCAGGCATGGTGGTGGGCACCCATAGTCCCAGCTACTCGGGAGGCTGAGGCAGAAGAATCACTTGAACCCAGAAAGCGGAGGTTGCAGTGAGCCAAGATTCCACCACTGCACTCCAGCCTGGGTGACAGAGCGAGACCTTGTCTCCAAAAAAAAATAACCAGCCAGTTTATACAGCATTTTCACTTAGTACCTTCCCCCAGCAATCTCCACTGGCATCCCTTTATTTAACCCAAAACAAAGGGCCCTGATCCCCTCTACGACCTGCAATCCACAGGAAGGACTAGGGATTCAGATGTTCCTCACAGCCAAAATAAAACCTTCACAGAAAAAACTAAGAGAATGAATCCCTGGGTTGGCCACTTATGGATCTCCCAAGCTCGGAGCTCGGAACACACATTCTTCTCAGAACATACAGTCATTCCCAGGGTATGCTTAAGTTAAGTTATTGGTGTCAGGTGTGACACACACACACACACACACACACACACACACACACACTTTCTCTCTCTCCCCTCCATCTTAGAAATAAGAAAGTGCAAGTAACATGAAAAAACACTCAACATCCCTAATCATCATTTGCAGAAGAATGCAAATTAAAACTACAATGGGATGTCATCTTATACCAGTCAGAATAGCTACTATTAAAAAGCAAAACAACAGCAGATATTGGCGCAGATGCAGAGAAGAGGGAACGCTTACACACTATTGCTGGAAATTAGTTCAGCCTCTATAGAGAGACTTCTCAAAGAAGTAAAAACAGAACTACCATTCAACCCACCAATCCTGCTACTGGAAAAGAACTCACATTTAAAAAAGCACCTGTACTCACTCGTAAGTTCATCACAGCACTACTGACGAGCTAAAAGTCATGAAACCAACCTAAGTGTCCATCAATGGGTGACTGGATAAGAAAACGTGGTACGAGTACACCGTGGAATACTATGCAGCCATAAAAGAATGCATTCATTTGCAGGAACAGGGGTGGAGCTAGGCAAACTAAAAGAGAGAACATTAGATATCATGTGTTCTCGCTTTTAAGTGGGAGCTAACCAATGGGTACACATGGACATAAAGATGGAAATAACAGACACTAGAGACTCCAAAAGGGGATGGGGACAGGGGGAGAGTTGAAAAAATACCTACCAGGTACAATGCTCACTATCTGAGTAAAGGGTACACGAGAAGCCCGATTCCCAGCAGTACACAATACACCAATGTAAAAAACATGCACACGTACCCCCAATGTAAAATAGTAAATGCAAGTAAATACCCGAGAGATCAAACCAACACAGTACAGACCAAAATGAAAACCGTCTCAATGTGACAGCTGACGTCTTCTTTTATGACTATCTAACTGCAACTGTAAGAATGTATTTCATGTTGGTATTTTTGGATGGATGAATAATTTTTTAGATTACTGAAATCTAAGATCTTAACTCGAGTGAAACAAAGTTTTTAAATAAAATTTGATCCTTAAGCTCATTCTATGTTGTCAAGACAACTCAGCATTAAGCATAACATTTGCTTTTCAAATGCATACCATTAACTATAATCATACCACCCCCATGAGCAGCTGAGTAGAAAGAAAGGCAGCTTGAACCTGAACTCCAAAACCAACCTAAAACGCAGAAAGTGGAAGGAGTATCCGCCAGGCCCTGGCCACTGGGATTCAGATGCCCTGGGTTCACACTCTAGCTCCACCACGAAGCTAGTCTGTATGCTGGTCAAGCCTCTCCAAGCCCCATTCCCTGATCTTTAAAACGGGGGTTTTACACATACACATACAGCAATTACAACAATTAAATGAAATAAGCTACATGAAATACTTAATGGGGTGCCAGGCCAAGCATATAAACATTCAAACTGTGCTTGCTGCAAATGTTTTTATTTTGTGACCTGAAAAATAAATTCAATTATTATTATTTTTTAGACAGGGTGTTCCTGTCACCCAGGCTGAAGTACAGTGATATGGTCAAGCTGACTGCAGCCTCAATCTCCTGGGCTCACATGATC